GCTAATGGCTCTGAGGTTTGCAGAGGTAATAAAAAGTTTCAGAACTAGTGGTGGTGATGGAGTCACAATTCTGGTATTATGTGAAACATCGCTGGGTTGTATACTTTATTTATTTTTTTTTAGAGAGAGAATTTTTTAAAAATATTTATTTCTTTTTTAGTTCTGGGCAAACACAACATCTTTGTTTGTATGTGGTGCTGAGGATTGAACCCGGGCCGCACGCATGCCAGGCGAGCACGCTACCGCTTGAGCCACATCCCCAGCCCCATGGGTTGTATACTTTAAATGAGTGAATATTATAGACTGTCACTCCTCAATAAAAGTGTTAAATGAATAGGGAATGAGGACAGCTTCAGCCCAGCATGGAGAGTCTAGACTCCATGCTGGCCAYAGCTCCCTGTTGCTGGTGAGTGCCACTTGAAAGAGGGCTGTGACCCAGCAGAATTCCCAAGGCAAGGGGGCTTGTGTTTTGGTGTGTGGGAAAGACCAACATGTCAGCGACTGCCTGCTTAGCCAAACAAGCCCCAAGGAATGTGGCGGAGGAGCCGCCTCCCCATCTGGCCCCAGGCACACGCTGAGACAGTGTGGAGAAGCCCCCCGGCTTGGGAACTTCCTCTAGGGCCAGCTGCTTCTCCCCCTGCCCAACTGCATGCTGCATCACAGCCAGTGTTTGCCTCCGTGAGTCCCCATGTGCACCTTCAGCTCCTGGTGCAAAACAGTCCTTGCCACCCAGAGCCTAATCCAGACTCCTTCTCAGGTTGGTCAAAGTAGAAACAAGATTATGGTATTAACAAGTCAGACCTGCACATAAGTAAAAATAGTGCTTCCAGGTGAGCGCAGGCTTTGGGAGGTCTGACCCATCTCCCTGTTGGCAGGACCTTGTTCTTGGGGCAGTGGCTTTGCCCAGCAGACACTCACGTACCTTTAGGCAGGCACAAAGAGAAGTGCCCAGCCTGGCTGGGATGCTCCTAGGTAGTCTTCTGGGTTGCCATGGCAACTTCCTAGGATACATCTTTCATCCCTCCCATCCAGTCATGAGAGGATGAAATGCCAGAGAAGACACCTTGAGGTTAGTAACTGCTTCCTTCCCCCACTGCCCTGTTCCCGCCTCAGGGCACCCACAGAGCGAGAGCATCTGCAGTGCAGAAATCACCTCTGGTCTCTGTGCCTTAGGGCTGATCGCAGAGGACCATAAGGCAGGATACATGGAGGCAGAGAATCAGGGGTCAGCTGTTGGAACTCTGAGGTCATGGTCCTGTCACAACTGGCTGTGTGACCCTGGCTAGTTACCTGGCCCAGTCTGGGCGCCTGGCTTCCTCATCTCTAAAGGTGCAATGTCAAACTACCAAGGGCTTGGGGAGGAGGTGGTAGGGCGTTGTAAACATCGGCCTTCTTGTGGGGGCACTTAGGAAGTGTGTGATGAATTKGCTCAGAATGAGTCTTTTATTATATCTTTTTTTTTTTTTTAAACTGGAGATTTAATCCAGAGGCACTCTACCACTGAGCCACATCCCCAGCCCTTTTGATTTTTTATTTTGAGACAGGGTCTTGCTAAGCTGTTTAGGGCCTCACTAAGTTGCTGAGACTGGCCTTGAACTCGCCACTCTCCTGCCTCAGCCTCCTAGTCACTGGAATTATAGGCATGCACCTCCATGCCCTGCTTATTGTTTACCTTCTATCCAAGTAGAACAGAGACCCTTGGCAACCTGCCCCACCCCAAGTTGTTCCTGAGCTTTGTTCTGTTTCCAAACATCTGCCTCTGTATTGTTGAGGTGGCAGCTCCAGGGCTGGACCTCTTAGAACCTGTCATCTAGGAATGCAGTGTTCCCTCAGCTCTGGTGGTGGGCCCAGAGCTGCACCTGGAGAGGCAGAAGGGCTTTAATTGGGTGCAGAGTTCAAAGAACTTCTTTTCAACTTCTCGCCCTTCTTGCACCAGACGGCTTGTAGTCAGCTGGGGCTGAGGGTGAAGAAATCAATAAAGAGAAGGGAAAAAAGAGGAAAGGAGGTAGGAGAGGAGGCAGGGAAGAGGAGGAGCAGGCAGCAGGAAGAGGGAAAGAAGGCAAGAGAAAAAGGAGAGGAGGGGGCTCACATTGGGAAAGCAGCCTGTCAATCCCTGTGCAGGAGAAAATGGGTTTCAGCTGGACACTCAGAATAGGTGAGGCCCAAGGAAGAATTTAAAGTGGCAAGRCCCACTCTGCCTTCCCATCCAGCCACATTCAGGTCATGATGCCTTGAACACTGACTGTCACCCTGGGCCTTCCAGCCTCTTTCCCTGCCCACTACAAAGCCAGCAAGGAGTCTCAGGCCCAGCCTACCTGTGCTTCCTTCTGCTCCCTGTGGTTATGGTGGGAAGGTTGGTCCAGGTGGGGTGAACATCTGAAGATGCTCCCTCAGCTCCACTCCGTGCCAATTCCTGCATGACACRAGGGTACAGGCAAGGTCCCCCTCCCTGGCACGTTCCTACACTTTAGACCACTGACTCAATTTCTGTTTTACCTGTGGACTATCTGTCTATTCACATTTTTCACTGAATCAGCTTGTGTCCGTCCCACGGTAACAACACTCGTGAGATGAATGGTGTACTGGTTGCTCTTTTTCAAATGTAGGTTTGAGTCACAGAATGGCTTTTTGTAGCAGTGTGCCCTTATCTGTTGCAAGACACCGGCCTGTGTCATCCCAGCAAGACTGGCAGCACAATGAGGGAAAGGGACCTACCTGTCTCTATGTCTTCTACTTGTTAACATTATACAACTTCCCCGGACCCAAGAATTGATTCTGGAATTAGGGACTTCTTCACTCTCCTCTATACACATGGTAGGTGCTGAGGAAGTGGTGGATTGTGGTTGCAGTAGAGATCTCTGAGACTGCCCCTGTGGTCCTCTGCACAGCCTGTCCCCCACATGTTGACCCCTGTCCCTCAAAGCCTTTCACAGTCATTTTCAGGTTGACTAGAGTACAACTGTGAGATGCACAGGGTACCGATAATCTCCTTTTGCCAAATGGAGAAACCAAGGCTGGAAATCTGCCTGACCAGGGGTCGTAGAACCCTAGCTCATGTCTGTACATCCCTCAGCTCATAGGTCTGAGGCTTGGTGATGACCAAGTAGGTGGGCTCTCCAGACCTGCACACATGTGAAGAGCTGGCCTAATGAGGTGCTGATGGAAATAAACCATACCAATAGTCCAGCACAACCGTTCCCCTTCATTGGCCTTTCCCAAGCACCTTCCAATCCTGGTGTTGGGCAGGACACATTCCTGGACCATTGCACAGTATGTATTTTTAGCTTCTGCTCTGAGGGCATGTCACTGTGGCCAGTGTCCTCAGGGAACCACCCAGCTGCATACCTAGTAGTCTGGTGGGCACTCAGAGATCTCAGGGAACAGCACCTCCACACCCCCACCTTGTGTCCTGGGACTTAGGATTCAGCTTTTTCTAAGATAGAACTAGCTCCTGTTAGTGAAGAATGCACCCCACCCTCAACACAGAGGTTTGTGGCTCAGAAACTGGGAGGCATGGAGTCATGGCAGGGGTCCTTCAGCCCCACAGCAGGATAACCAGCCAGGTGGCCAAGGTGCTCACAGACCTACTCCAGCAAGTGCAGCCTTCTGTGACCAAGTGGGTGTGCCACGCTGAGGGAGGCCAAGTCCAGACTTCCCAGGACTCTCTTTAACAGGCAGGGCCAAGTCTTAACTGGCTGTCTCAGTTCTCTTGAATACAACTTCCCCGGACCTAAGAATTGTTTTTGGAATACACAGCTAAATCATAGCATTTAAGACTGGAAGACTTTTCTACCTTCTCTTGTGCTTTCTCTGTTCTCCTTTTGTGGGTTTCACAAAAGGCAGAAAATGGTGTGGGGTTTCAGGTGGGTGATACCAGACCAAAAGCCCACCAAGCACTCTCAGGCCTACTTGCAACTTACTTACACATTGGGCCTGTCTCCTCCTCCCTTAAACAGGTAGTCACCACTCCTACCTGGCAGGCTGTAAATTGTTCTCAACTTAGCAAAAGATACATTTTATGTCTGACCAAGCCCACAGGCAATGAGAATGCAACGCTTTGCAAAATAGTACTTATTTTCATTATGCAGTACGCTCTATTTTTTCTCTCATTCTATTTCATTTTTATTAAACGCTGGTCACTACCCACTAAATTTTTCCCCAGACCCAATATTGGACCCTAATCTCACGATATTCACAGTAAAGACAAAAGACCAAGTACGAATGCGGTGCACACACGTGTACAATCACTCATCAGGCTAAGGGCGATGCGAGGAGAGGACAGAGGATGGGGAGGCTGTCTACTTCATAGTTGGGGGCTCAGCACGGGCTCCGGGCAGACGGCCCAGGCCGCGGGGCCTCGGAGGCGGGGTGTGTGTGGGGGGCGCGGGTCGGAGTTTCAGGGCCAGACCGCTCCGCAGGTTGGGCAGGAGGGCGGCTTCCCGTGGCGCGCACCGCGAGTTCCATTTAAGGGCGAACGGACCCAAGGGCCGCCAGGCCCGACTGCGCCTTCCTCCCTCTCGTCGTCGGAATGAGGGTCGGGGCTCACGCAGCCCAGCGCAAGGGCGCCTGCGAGCCTAGATTCTGCAGGAAGGGAAGCCGAGGGCGGGGAACTCAGCCCGGCCTCCCGCCCAGCCCGTGCCCCGGGGCGGGCCGTGGAGAAGCCAAGCTCCGCCCGCCGCGGGGGCCGGACCGTCCCCGGTCCGCAGCAAACAGCTGCCGGCCGTCCTCGCCGCGCACGCGCAGACTACCCAGCCCGCTGTGTACTGTGGCCCCAGTTGCGCGCGGGGTCCGCCGGGAGCCGGCTGCCGGGGGCGTGGGCTGCAGGAGAGGCCCGCCCCCGGCCGGCGGCACCCTGCTGCGCAGGCGCGGCGCGCGAGCCCGCCCCCACCGTGGCCGGCGGCGCGGCCATATTTAAAGGGCGGCGGGCGCGGCGAACCAATGGGCGGCCAGCGTGCGGGGGCGGCGCGTGGCGGCGCGGGGCCCCGGATGTGGCTGCGGCGTCGCTCCTCCCCCGCTGGCCTCAGAGCTTGGAGGCGCGCCCCGCTCCGCTAGTTCGCTCGCTCGCGGCCCGCCAGCCCCTTGGGCGCAGCGGGAAGCGCCCCGGCAGCGCGGAGCAGCGCAGGAGCGGGCGGCGCGGCGACCGCGCGGGGCGGAGCGGGCGGGGCCCGGCGCTCGTCCCCCGCGCCCGGCGGCCGCCGCCATGAGCGGCTCCTCGGGCACCCCGTATCTGGGCAGCAAGATCAGCCTCATTTCCAAGGCGCAGATCCGCTACGAGGGCATTCTCTACACCATCGACACCGACAACTCCACCGTGGCGCTCGCCAAAGGTAGCGGCCCGCCCCGCGCGCCCAACCGCCGCCAACAGACCCGGGCCGGTCCCGCGCCCAGACCCCGGCCCCCACCGCGGGACGCTCCCCGTGCCGGGACCCCGGGCTCCCCGGCTCCCCGCCCCCACTCTGGAACGCCGCCCCCACCCGGTCTCCACCCCGGGACGCTCCCCGCGCCCCGCCCCCACTATGGGACCCCCCCCACACCAGTCCGGGTTCCACCCCGTGTCGCTCCCGGTGCCTGGACCCCCAGCTCCACCCGGGACGCTCCCCGGGCCCCGCCCCCACCCTGGGGCGTCCCCCATTCCCCGGCCCGGAGCCCGGTCTCCACTCCGGGATGGCCCCCGCGCTCACCGGGGACGCCCCTTCCTCCCGGGACGCTCCCGAGCCCCTCCCCCACCCTGAACGCCCCGCGCCCGCAACCCGGTCTCCACCCTGGGACGCCCCTCCAGGCCTCGCCAGGTTCCCGCCCCCGCACAATGGTTTTCGTGGCGCCGCCCTCTCCGTGCAGCCCGTCCTGCAGGTGTTGCGGGATGGGCGGCTCCGATAGCTGTGGTTCTTCTTCACCTGTGTGTGGGGACTGTTCCAGCAGGGACCAGGTGCCTTGTCTCCCAGGCCTCCCCAGAAGGCAGGGTGGGGGCGGGGGTGAAAAGATGCGAACCCGCGCGTTCTCCTGGAACGCTTTATCCAGCTGGGCCCACCGGGTCCTGTGGAGCATCCGTTGGCATAGGGTGCCTGAACCGACTGATTTTACTGTGGGCCCAACTGAGCTGTCCTTTTGTGACAGCTGTCTGTAGGTGCTGGCTGACTTGAGGGTGCTTGTTGTGACTAGAGAGGTCCAGAACCCACATGCCAGTGCTGGCAATGCGGGCCCAGAGYCTCTTTGTCTTCATCCTCTAGAGGACGGGAGCGGGTTCCCCTGCCTCCTGGAGGAAAGCCAGCACCGCCAGCTCTGCAGCAGCCCGCGGTGTGCTGTGCCTGGTGTTAGGCCCTCGGGTCCTGGTGCCAAGTGCTGAGACCTGTCTGAAGCTGGCCTGGGTCAGAGGGAGCCCCATGACTCAGGGTGCAATTGTCCCAAATCCTAGACATGTTTCTTTTTGAACCCTGATGTGCAAACTTGGGCACACAGGGTAACACTGCAGGAAACAGCAGGGTGTTCCAAGTCTTTTTGTTCGGTTGAGCTCTTGGTATGGTACTTATTTTGACACAAGATCCCAGTTATAGAAACTGAGGTAAGAGTAGGCCCTCCAGTAGGAGTTGCCCTCCCTATTAGATCGAGCCYGCTGCCAAGCCCAGTCTGGCCCTGGAGCCATACAGAGTAGAAGTGTGATAGGGTTCTTGGACCCTGTTGGGGATTCATGAAGCTATTGTTAGGGATCCCAGTTTTAGGTCTTTTTTCTCCTCGTTTTTATAATGTTCCCTTGGACTGGATGTATGCAGACGGGTGAGGGTGACACTCTCCTGGGTCCTCACCTAAGAAAACTGCCTTTGCAGCTGCAGAGTGTGGTGAGACCTTGAGCACAAAACAGCTGATGGTTTCATCTGCAAAGGCAGATGTGAACCAGGGAGGTTTTGCAAAGCAGAGAGTTCTGTGTATGGATGTGTTTACACTGGAGCATATGAATCTTTGTGAGACTTTGTTTTTTGAAATTCTTTTTGTCAGTTACGAACGACTGTCTTTTTGGACTTTCATTGATGGGACCCTCTTAAAGGGATTAAGGAGCTGTTGAATTATAAATTTGGGTATTGTGTTGGGATGGTGCTCAGGGCAGAGGCCCTTCTCTTCTGGCAGGCCCAGGAACTATATAGGGCTGTAGTGACAGAGGATTGATGAAATGGACTTGGCAAAGGGTGACAACCCTTCCTTTTTTTCATCCTTAAGTGAGATCCTTTGGTACCGAAGATCGTCCTACAGATAGGCCTGCTCCCCCAAGAGAGGAAATTTATGAGTACATCATTTTCCGGGGAAGTGACATCAAAGATATCACTGTGTGTGAACCTCCGAAAGCTCAGCACACTCTCCCTCAGGATCCTGCCATCGTTCAGGTATGTGTGTCACTGTATTTCCACGTGATACCATTTCTAAGGGAGCTGGCTTCTCCTGGAATTTAGTATATGTTTGACTAGAGTGCTCAAATTGAGAAATGACTCTTTAGTAAAAAGTAGTCTCATTTTCATCTAGTGCTTGATGTTCCTATGAAAAGCATTAATTCACGCAGCATATAGTAGGTAGTGTGTTCTGTGTGGCATGACCCCTTGGGGGAGGAGGCCTGTGACTCTGTGTGTGTGTGTGTGTGTGTGTGTGTGTTGTGAAGGGGTGCTACTTCTGGGGTTTTGCCCGGACATAGTGTAATCAAGCCCTGAGTGGCATGGGATGCTTGTCGGGAAAACAGTGGAACCCCAAATTTGTAAGTCTTAAGCCACATTCCAGCCTTTTAGGTTGTGGCTCAGGATTACCAGGGGGCCCAGATTAATATTTACTTGTAAGTTCAAACATTTGTTGGCTCCTTTGGGATTCAGGATGCACTGGGTTCTGAGTCGAGGGTGCACCTGGAAGGTAGGAGAAGGCAGGGTGGGCTTTGGAGGAGCTCTTCAGGCCAGGCTTCTGAAGTTTGGACGGAGGGTCCTCATGGACTTGGAAAGAAGAATGTATGTTTGAGCCAGGCCCAAGGGGCAAAGAGGAAATAGCCAGGTGAAGGGCATGGGAAAAGGTCAGTCCTCAGACTAGCAGCCGTCCTCTCTGAGGCTTAGGGTTCAGAGCAAAGACAGATGTTGGGAAATGGAAGCACCTCTGCAGGGATATGTCTGGAATTGAGGGTGGTACTTTCTCTTGTTAGAGAGGCTAGATTCCACCAGTGACAGAGGGGAGTTGTCGGAGGGTTTTAATTAAGTTAGGAGAAATTCATGATAGTGTTACGTGGACAGGTGCAACTGGTTGGAAAAAGGCAGCTTTGACCATACTGAAAACTCCCCCAGGACCACTCAGCATGTCAGCAGTACAGGTGACAGAACTGGCGCTTCCCTTCTGAGCAGGTGCTCTGAGCAGACTTGCAGGGTATCAGGATGGCCTTGCACCTCTCTTACCGGTGTGTCTCGTTGTTCAGTCTTCTCTGGGCTCTGCCTCCGCCTCGCCCTTCCAGCCGCATGTGCCTTACAGCCCCTTCAGAGGGATGCCRCCCTACGGCCAGCTGGCAGCCAGCTCCCTGCTCAGCCAGCAGTATGCTGCGTCCTTAGGTCTAGGTGAGTAACAGTTTCTGTCTCCTGAAATACCCTGCTTATGATCACCAGGAAGTACAGTGACAGGTCTAAGGGTGGGGCATGTCCTCTTGTCATGTTCAGCTCCTAGACTACTTATTGTAGCACATGCTGGATGAGTCTCCCCTGTGCAGCTTCGGCTTTCCAGTATCTGGTAGCTGTCCAGCTGAGTGAGAGTGGGCATTGTGGGTCTTGGACTCAATGGACCAGGTCAAAATTGATCTGGAACATCAGCCTGGGTCTGCGTGGAAGTCCTGGTACACCTGCCTGGAAGGAGGAGTGCTGACCCGTGTACTCATGTAGGACTTCTAGATGTTTGCACATCTGTGAGCCTGTAAATATAATATCCTATTTTCCTGTTAAATTTTTTTGTTATTCTACCATAAGGGTCCTGCTCAAAATGGTTTTAACCAAGGTTGACTAGTCCCAGAGTAAAGAGTCTGTTTTCCATGTTGAGAGTGAGCGTGGTCTTGTCCTTGGCCTGGCTCTAGCTCTGCAGCTGTGTTTAGAACATGGCACTGGCAGTCTTTGCTTGGACCCCAGTGTGAGGCAGGGAGCATTAATTAGATCCAGATCAATTCTGTGGGTTACTTGTTTGTATTGATTGCTGTTCCTCGTGTGACAGGTGATTTCTCAGCCCAGCTTACTGTTTCTAAAATGTGTGTGTATGAGCAAAGTGTCCTATGAGAGTCTGCTTAGCTCTTCCCAAGTTTGCTAGACACAAGATAAGTATGTCCTGACTTATTTGTGTGCTTTCTCTTTGCTCTTTTCTCCTTTCTCTTCCTTTAGAGAAGTTGGTAAGCCCTCCAGCCTCAGCCGCTGCTTCCAGCCCTAGTTCTTCTCCATCTCCACAGCCTGTTTCAGAGCTTGACATGTCCTCAGAGCCACCTCAGCTCACTTCCAAGGGTAACAGCAGTTTGGAGAACTAACTGCATGCTGTCTTGCAGACCATTCTGAGTGCAAGAGGGTAAAATGAGAGCCAGAATGACAGGAGCCGTAGATCGTTTGCTAGGCCTAGGGAGCAGTGATACTGCTTCTGTTTTGTTCAGCCCAAAATGTGGTTCATAACTACCAGTTTTATAGCTTTTTTTTTTTTCCTTTTGGTGCTGGGAATTGAACCAGAGGCACATCACTGAGCCACCTCCCCAGCCCTTTTTATTTTTTTTTAAGATAAGGAGCCCTTGGTTCACACTGCCTGGGTCTAGAGTTTGTTTTGACCTGCCCCAAACATCATGCTTGGGAAACTTCCTTTGAATACAAAGCTGTTTCCTTGGGGGTTTGCTGGGACGTAATCATGTTCTAGACTGCTGTAGCGGAGTTCCCCAGCCACTTCACAAACACAAGTCATCCTTCAGCGTGTTCAGGATGGGAGCTCAGTGATGATCAGCTCTATGGCCAGCTGCTGGGTATTGTCCTGAAGGCCACCTTGTCAATGTAGTGTCCACCTGTCTGCTAAGACAGCAATGCTATGGTATTTTTTAGAGTTTCCTGATGTTCTCACCTCAAGTTCTGAACTTCACTTTCACTGTTTTCTTACACATCTGTTTTACCTCTGCTTCATGTGCATTGCTACAGGCTCAAGCCTTTACCATCATSCATACTTGGTCCAAGAAACTGTCTATGTTCTTGTTTGGCCACACAAGCAATGTCAGTCTGTTAGATATGTTGCTTTTAAGTTCTGCATATGTCTGAGAGCAGTCATATTTTTTCCACTTAAACACTTTGTACTCTGATTTTTCTCAGGAATATTTACATAAAACTACCCAAAGGGCAGATAGATTGTTTTAACTGGTTTGATTTTCTAAAAGGCAAATATGCCCAAAGTTCTTGCCCTATCCATTCCTGTGTGATAAGCCAGTGAAAGTGGTCCAGATTAGTTCTTGTCAGAAAGGACCTTCCGATGCCTGCCCTGTGAGGGCTACTCTTGATTTGGCTACAAGAACTTTTCTACACTGATTTCCATAACATCAGTCCAGTATACAAAGTTAGAATGTATCCCTTCTTCATCTGTGTTGGGCTGCCCCCCTGACACTGGTTACCCTGTGGTTAGGACTTATTTTTCTGTCTCATCTTTGACCACTTCCACTCAGTCCCCAGGTGCTCTCTTTAACACTTCCCACAGATCCTGGAACCTGGGAGAGGAGTGGGAAGAGGCAGTCTGGGCAGGTGGCCTTTTGCACACCCTCTACCAGGTTCAGATGACATCCCCTGCATCAGGACCACCACGGAGGCTTGGTTTTGAGATGCATCTCAGGCAGTACTCTAAGAATAGCCCTTACTGAGGCCACCAGGGAGCCCTTCTTGTTTTATGAGGAGCCTATACTCTTGTGAAGCTGCAGGCTGACAACTGTGGTCAGCTCTTCCCTCTTCATCCTATTTTTTTATTATCTTGTAAGCAAAAATGACAGTATTCTAGAATTTAACTTTGAAGTTTGACCACTGCACTTGCTAGAAGACCCCAGCTGGTTCTACTCGGGTGTGGACTGGAATGAAACAGATTGTTGAATCCTGAAATTCATCATCTTAGGGCTATTTGAGCCCCTTTGGGGTTAGTTTGTGTGTTTCTAGAAAGCTGTTCCTTAGTGAGCGGCCCAGTCTGGGGAAGCTTGGCCTGGGCTTGGACCCTCTCTGGGCAGTTGCCCTCTCCTGCCTGATTGTCAGCCAGAAAAGAAGTGACTGGAGGTGTAAGGCTTTTCTTCTCTGTTTGTAAACCCTCTTCCTCTCCTCAATTCAGGAGCTGGCTTTCCTTCTGCCCCTGTTGGCAAGAGCCCCATGGTGGAACAGGCTGTCCAGACTGGCTCTGTCGATAACCTGAATGCCAAGAAGCTGTTACCTGGCAAGGGCACCACAGGGACGCAACTCAACAGTCGCCAGGCCCAGCCAAGCAGCAAGACCACTGGCGGTACTTGAGTTCTTCCTCCCCTGCAGTTTGCTGTTGTTCACAGTGGCACACTATTTTCTGGGTTATTTTTTAAAGCATTAAACTCCTCTCCTATCCTAAGCCCCACGTGCTTTTGGACAGGCCCATATGGCAGACTTCCTTCCATGGGGCCCCAGGCAGTGGTGGTGCCCTGCTTTGGTGGCTGGGTTCTGGCTTCTGCTGGAGCTTTGCCTTACTCTTCCCTTTGCGCCTCAGATGTAGTCCCACCGGCAGCTGTGCACACTCAAGGGCAGGTGAATGACGAGAACCGAAGACCTCAAAGGAGGCGGTCAGGTAACACCTGTGGCCACCCAAGTTTGGGAGCCATGAGCAACAGGCCACGTTTTGCTTGTCCTCGTGGATGCTGCCCCTCTTGTCTGCTTGTGCTTGGAAGCTGCGTTTGAAGTCCTGCTGGAAACATTGGATGGTGGTTTACTTCAGCCATTGCTGTCCTTCTTCCTTGTAGGCAACCGGCGAACAAGAAATCGCTCCAGGGGGCAAAACCGTCCAACTAATGTCAAAGAGAACACGATCAAGTTTGAAGGTGACTTCGATTTCGAGAGTGCAAATGCTCAGTTCAACCGAGAGGAGCTTGATAAAGAATTCAAGAAGAAGCTGAATTTTAAAGGTCTGATTTGCATAAAAGTTACTACTCCCTGGACGTATCCCTAGAGTGTGCTATGAAAAGATTGAGGTGATCTGGGAAGCCAGCTGGGGTGCTGACCAGTCTGGAAAATGGGATTAACAAAGAATTAATGAGATAAGGAAGTGTTTGGGGGTGAGAGGGGGAGACAGTTGTTCTGACTATTGGTAAAAAGAGGTCTCTGCTTAGTATGACACAGACACATGGTGTGGGCTGCTGAATGGACCCCTGGAGAGAGACCTCCTTGGAGGGGGGTTGTGGTGTTTGCTTCTGCACCTTTGTGTGCTCTACTTCTCTTTGTAGAGGACAAAGCTGAGAAGGGGGAAGAGAAGGACCCAGCTGTGGTGACTCAGAGTGATGAAACTCCTGCTGAAGAAGACCTCCTGGGGCCCAACTGCTACTACGATAAATCCAAGTCATTCTTTGACAACATCTCCTCTGAACTCAAGACCAGGTGAGGCCTCCGTGGACTGGTAGAGAAGGTCATCACTGCATGCATGTCTCGGAAGYACAGACTCGGCAGTCTCCACCTGAAGACCTAACCTACAGCCTTGAATTCAGGGCACATGCCCTAGGAGCTTGYATTTCTGTGTAATAGATGCTAGAGTCCCCAGTTGTCTCTCTCAGCCATCCAGGATGTGGTGCAAGAAATTCTGGCAATCATCCAGCCACAGGGGAAYTCACTGAGGTCAGGCCCCTGGTCACTAGGTTTCCTGTCCACATTCAGTGTTCTTGCTGGGCTGCTTGCTGGTCTCAGTGGCCTGGCTAGTGTTCTGACCATGATGTTCTTTCCCTTGGTGTTGGCCACCAGTGACCATGTTTCACGTGTGTGATCGTCTTTAGTACCTTGGGTGAATGTTCTGGACAATGTGGGCAATCTGTAGAGTAAGCATGGTGTGGAAACCCAGATCCATGTGTCCTGCAGGTTGAGCACCAGGAATGCTCCCAGGCATTCAAGAGTGGCAGCAGGCAAAATTGAGTGGCCCTGGCACATGCTCACACTCCACTGGGGGAGCATGCAAGTGGAGATGCACAAAACATGAACAGAGGACATGTAGGAGCCCAGCAGTGGAGGGTGGGCAGGGCTGGGTTGGAGGGTAGCCACAGGGGTGAATGAAGGTCTATGTGTCTCTGTGGGGCTGGGTTGGAGGGTGTTGTAGGAGTTCAGGTAGGGTGTTGTAGGTCACAGTAATGATGTTGGCTTTGTTATGATCCTGTGGGCAACCTTCCAGGAGTGACATGCAACAATATAGCATGTTGATGAGAGTGGCCCAGAGTGGGCCACTATGAGGCTGGGTGGACAAGGTGGCTGGCTCAGCAGGAGTGCAGGTTCTTGGAATACTGGGCTGTATGTGGTGGGAAGGCTGGACACAGTGTGTTTTGAGGATGGCACTTACAGGGCGTGGGGAGTCCAGAATGACTCACACATGTCTTGGCTTGGGTATGTGAAGAACAGTGTCATTTTCAACCAAGAAACCTGTGGATGCAGCAGGCTTCTAGACTGAAGGGCAGGAACTGGCTGGCTGGCTGCCAACATTTTGGCTGCACTGGGCACATGGTTGTACATGGGAGTTATGCTCCCAAATGTTTGGGCAGCATGATGTATGAGAGCTGTGATGCCATCTGCTGTCACCCCCAGAAGCACATGCACCATTCTTGCTCCATCCAGCCCTGCCCCTCTCCACCCATATCCTTCTAGTAGAAACCTGAGTCTGGAGGAGTCTGTATCCTGTTCTGTTCTGAGGTCTGCATGGGGCCTGGGCGCCCAAGCTTCTCTCCCTGCCCAGCAATCAGTGGAGAGAAGGCTTCCTTTGTCACCCACTGGTGGCAACCTGCTTAGCCTTGTTGATGAAAGGTAGGTCTTGAGTAGTCTAGTGCTCAGGAAGATGGCTGCAGTGGTCTTCATCTCCAGGCCTAACCTGTTCCCTCCACCTCTGTAATGGCTCCACCAACAGCTTGTGGTTCTTCCCTGGGCTGTTACGAGGATGGAGCTTGAGTTGTTACCTGCTGTCATCAGGATTCCACACACTTTATCTCTGGTCCAGTTCCAGGCGTACAACATGGGCTGAAGAGAGGAAGCTCAACACGGAGACCTTTGGCGTGTCAGGGAGGTTCCTTCGCGGTCGTAGTTCTCGTGGTGGGTTCCGTGGAGGAAGGGGCAACGGGACAACCCGGCGCAACCCGACTTCCCACAGAGCTGGGACTGGCAGGGTGTGAAGATGCAGCCTGAGTGAGTGTGGGAACCTTCTGGATCCTTGGGTGGGAGGCACTGGGACGGGTGTACCTAGCCAGAGCAGAGGTGCTGGAGAGGAGGTGGGCTTTCTGTCTTCCCACAAGAAGAGCATCCTGAAGGTGTCAGGCCCAACTGACGGCCTCAGCCCTCAGAGTCACCCAGGGTCTCCTAGAAACAGCCAGAGTCAGGTCTGACCCAGGTCTGCCAAACGTGGGCCTCGGGTAGGACCCAAGTTGCTGCCCACTTCATCCAGCTGAGATCATGGGTGTGGGAGGCAAGGACCATGGTGGAGTCTAGTGAGGGCTCTGTGCTTGCCGCTGGGCTCCGGCATGATGCCCTAGTCCAGCCTGGCCCTGCACCGAGTCAGAACCTGTTAGCGAGGCCCCAGGGATTGTGTGCACTCCTGGGTCTGGGCAGTGTCCCTGTATGGTGACTGGTAATGACCCACCCCAACCAGGTGGCATTTGGAGGAACCAGGGCTTCCTGCCACTCACTGTCTTTCAGTCCTCAGTGTGCTACTTGGAGGGGGCCCTGATAGGACAGTGGGCGGTCCCAGGGAGGGAATAGGGGTTGAGTGGCCCCTGTTACTGGTCAGGCAGCAGTCCCTGCTGATACTGAGCAGCCGTGTAACAGTTGGTGTGGATATGCTCATTTTCTGTCCTCTTTTGCAGGCTCCTACTGAAGAGCACAGAAGTGATGTCAAGGACACCACAGAAATGCTCTGCACTGAACAGGGAAGGAGTGGGTCCCGTTTACTGAGTTGGAAAATTCCCATACTGCTACTTACGTTTTGGACTTAACTGAACTTAGACGTGGTCTGAGTTAAAACCACTTGTTTTTTGGGAAGTATTCATGGGTAACCTCTTTGAGGTATCTTGACCTACATTTCCTTTTTGGTTGCGCATAGCCTAATTCTAAGGTTTTGGCATTTTCTATAGCGAAGGTTTGATCCTCRCTTTGTGGTTTTTTCTTTTTTTATGACAGCTTTGACTTTTAAAGTGGAACCAAATCTCATTTGGCACATGCGGCCAAGTGCATTTCTGTAACCCATCTGGCCCCTGGTGCTGCTGGCCTGGCACCCCACCCCCCCACCGTCATTGGTAGGGTCTCAGGAGCCTGGCAGGGCCAGCACAGGGTGGGCCGGACATGTGCGTGGGTGGGGCAAAGGCAGGGAAAGGGATATCCCATGGATCATGTGTAACAAACCGAAGTGATGTTGTTAGGGTTGGGGGCTGGCAGAGGGTGGTGGACTTGGTGGTACTGGGAAGGGACCCTGAACGTTACCTATGCAGAGCCTGGCKTCCACAGGCACTGAGGCCAAGGGTTGAAGCCCTGAGCCACCCCATACAATGTTCCCCTGGCTCTCTTGTCCTGTCCTTACCAGCCTCTGACCCAGGTCAGTGTTGGACTCTTGTCCTCATCCACTTGGAAATGAGCCAGTCTTTTTTTGCAAGGTCAGTTGACCTTTTTTCCTCTGGATTGTAAATAGTTCTTGTGTGTTTGTTTTAAAGGTGGGTGGAGGGAGGGTGGGGAATATAAATTTGTTGCATGAGTAAGATGGGTCAGACCTCCAGTGTAAGCATGCATCCTTCTGATTGACAGGGCATTTTGTTGAAAATAAGCACCTTGGTAACTAAACCCCTTTAAATAGCTATGAAGGCTTTAGTTCTGTATTAAGTCATTATAAATGCTTGGGTTTATTTTTGTAGGACTTCATGGCTGAGAAGTAGAACATAGCATTGGCACTGCTTTGTTTGGGAAATGTAAATTGTAATTATAAATAAATATGCAAACCCTTAAAACTTTTTTCTGTGCTGCCTAACAACCTCTGCAGCATATCCAGGGCCCACCCAGAGGCAGGTGCTATTCAGCCCTAGAGTACACTTGGGGTGGTAGGATTTGGGGGAATTGGTTCCATATAGTGCCCCAGGAAGGAGACCCTGCTGAAGTGCAGTGAGATAGGCCTGGATCCTCTTGTCGGCGGCCTTTCTGGGATGAGTGGCCCTGCTGTCTAGAATCTGCATACACACTAGTTTAGGCTAAAAGCAGTCCATTTACTTCAGTATAACGAGTTTCCAGGTGACTTTAAAAGGAGTGCTCAGAGGACCAGAAGGGACAGCTGAATTTGGCTTTCCCTTATGGTACCTGCCTATGCTCTACTTAGGCTCTAGAGCAGGAACTGGCAGCAGGCAGCCTTCTGTTTTGGTGGTGGCAGTGGAGGGAAGTAACCCAATGCCCAGTTCTTTTCAGTGTGTATGGTAGATGCCAGGGGCCACAGCCCTCATTCTGACCTGTGCAGCTCAGCAGCTGGAGTGTGCTGCTGGTGGATGTAAAGGTTGCTTACCACCTGAAGTAGCCTTGCTGTTAATCCAGTTGACAGTCATTTTGACAATTACACATTTTTATGCTGAGCTTAAAAGTGATCTCCTGAGTCTGTGTTTTAGAGGATAGCATATACTGCAAGCCAGAGAGGGCAGCTGGCKGCTGAGGGAGGCAGCAGCACGTGCCTGGAGCAGCCCAGGACCCAAAGGCCAAGAGGGGTTCTTTCTGGCTAAAACGTGAGAGAGGGGAACAGCTAGGTAGAAAACAGGAGACAAACAAATCCATTAAAAGCCGAAAGAAAGAACTAATTTTGAATATAGCAACTCATTGCCTGGAAGGAAATGGAAAATTGTATTGAACCCCCAGAGGCGAACCCTGGCTTGTTAGGAGCCCGGCAAYAAGGGACAGAAAAGTAAGTGCGTAAAAAGCAAGTACACAGATTCCCAAAACGAGGGGGAAAGACCCCATCTTCTTAAAGAGCTAGTATGATCACACCTRAAAAGATCCATGCTCTCTTCACAAGCAAAGGCTAAAAAATACGGAAGTTTATTGGGTACTCTTGACATCCCAGACAGGTGGATGAATGGAAACGCCCACAGAGACTCATCAGTGACCAAGTTTAAAAGCTGTTCTAAGCAAGAGAGATTTCTTCATCACGATGCTTTCTTTTGTTTCTTCTTTTCATTTTCTTCTTTTTCTTTTTCAATTTCAGCAACGTATTTCTCAATTTCTTCAGGATTGAGAATCTACAACATAGGATTTTTTAAAACTTCAGAAACATGTTTAACCCCCAGGTTGCACAAGGTACAGAACACTAGCTCGTTCAGGCAGTGCAGCCTGGTTTGTGCTGCAGCCATTCCACAGCCCTTTTGGAGAAGGGCTTCAAGGAACTAGGGTGACATTTGCCTGAGGTGTTAAAAACAAAGTTGCACTTGGCAGCCTCAATACACCAAGAGAATACATGAACACCACTGGGAACCATGGAAGCAAGTGGAGAAGTGTTCAGACTGTGTGGAGCCTTGGACATTGGAGCAGCTGAAGCCACAGCATGATGGCCTCAGGAGGAAGTGACCCTCCAGAAGGAAACACCATGGGGTCTTTCTATGATTTTACACATGATCAAATCAAGATGACGACTTGAGGATTACCTTAAGGGGCTGATCTCTCCTCATGACAGCAAGTTCAATGTTTTTGCCACCTGATTGGACCACCTTGAAGGGAAAGACAGGAATGTTAAGACACCTCTGCCCTCAAGAACACAGTGGCAATCCTGGCAGCCCTCCTTGGACAGGCAGCAGTGGCCACTGGGAAGCGCAATGCCTGACTCCGGGCCTGGCTTTGCCTGTTTGTACTTCAAAGTCTTGATGGAGCCTGTGAGTTCTTGATAGATCCCTAGCCCCTACTATGGATCTCTTAATTTCCCAACTTAGCAACCCAAGCCTCTGGGAGGCCAAGTGACATCTGTAGTACAGAGTCCACAGCCCGATGACTGGGCTTCTGTCTTCCTGCTTCTCATGCTCTGTATTCCTGGGTGAGCCATGACTACCCCTGCTCTATGAAGAAGCAGATGATGGCACTTTCTTTCCCAGGGCTCTGTGGTGCATGGCAGCTGGACAACTCCCAACCATCCAGCACTGCCATGGGCTGTTGTCACACATGCTCTTTCTCCATCTTGCCCAGACACACTTACTTCCAGGAGGGCCTTGATCACCAGCTTGATGGTCAGATCGTCTGTCTCGATGGCCTCATCAGTATAGTTCTTCTCCAGGAACTCACGCACTGACTTGGCACCCCGGCCTATGGCATTGGCCTGAAACAGACAAGTGTGGGCTCACAAGGCACATCCAGAGCCACCCCTGTCTTCTGCTCCAGCTGTGCTATTTGCTCTGTAGCAGTGCATGAGGTGACAGCCCTAGACTTGGGGCCTCCCTAATAGCTGTGTGTGCACATGCACACACACACACAGGATTTGGTGCTAATTTTTAAAAAAAAATGTTTGTTTTAAGTTATAGTTCGACACAATACCTTTATTTTATTTTTATGTGGGACTGAGGATTGAACCCAGCCCCCGACACRTGATAGGTGAGCGCTCTATTGCTGAGCCACAACCCCGGATTGGTGCCAATTCTTATTACAATAAGGGATTATACTTTTAATAATTAAGAGAAACTGGTAATGTTATGAATGGAATTATATTCCATTTTATTATTGAGACACTGGGAAGTTTAAATTTATGCCACACATCCTTGAATCTTGGTGTCCTTTGCTATTGAGTGAACTTTTTACTTTCATTCACATCAGTAACATTTCATGAAACCGATTGTTCACTTAGGACTAAGGTAACTTACACTGCTGCTTGTTCACTGGCAAGAGGCCCAGTACCTCCCCAAGGACTTTAGTCCCTCCCTTTACTTTGTCCTGGACTCACCTTCCAGGCATGGTATGTGCCCGATGGGTCAGTCTGATAGAGTCTGGGGGTGCCATCAAAGTCGAAACCCACAATGAGGGCGGAGATGCCGAACGGCCTGCGCCCATTGCTCTGTGTATAACGCTGGCAGGGAAAGAAGGCAGTGCTGTCAACCATGAGAAAATTCATGTGACATCCAAAACAACTGTGCTTAGTGTAAGGATTAAATGTTCATCTTAAGCCCACCTCCAGGTTATCTGCCATTCAACTAATAAACGAAATTAGCTAATAGCTTTCAACATCTCTCCTTTCTGCAATTTCATTCTTAGACTCACCCAGGACTGGAACTACATTATGGAATAAAACTGAGGCTGCTGGAAATTATCTTGGGGTAGACTTGCACTCTTGCCACATGCTAGTTTTCAGATGAATGGCATCTGAGAACCAGAGTTGGTGAGCTTCCAGCCCCCTTCCAACTGCTTGGTAACTGGTGGTTCAAAAGGGCAAGATGAAAACGATTATTTCTCTCCAGAACACATGAATCCAGACTGCCTCCAGCAGAAAGGGACAACAGAACAGTGCCGCCCAATGGGAGAGACCTTAAGTCACAGACACACACACACACACACACACACACATAGACGAGGCCAGGAACCAAAGGAGACGTCCGCGTGAGGTAACACCACACAGGACGCTCCAGGACAGTGCCTGCTGCATCACAAGGAGGGCAGCACTCACCTGCTTCAGGCTGGCAATGTAGCGGGTGATGTACTCCACGGTGACAGGGTCTTCCACAGTCAGCCGGTGGCTCTGGCACTCCACCCGGGCCCTGTTGATGACTATCCGTGCATCGGCAGTGAGGCCTGCAATGGAGGCAGAGGAGCTTCTGCTGCAGTGGCCACTCACTGTTCCACCCAGGTAAGTTCCAAAACCTGCCCTCTGAAACCCAGCACAGCATTTCTGAGTGATGGACAGCGGAACTAATCAGCCCTCAGAAACTTCTGAGAAAGTGGAACACATGAGAAGTTGTGTGAGCTGGCCACGGTGGCGCACACCTATGATCCCAGCAGCTTGGGAAGCTGAGGCAGGAAGATCTCAAGTTCAAAGTCAGCTCAGCAACTTAGAGAAATCTTATCTCAAAAAATATAAAACGGGCTGAGAATGTTACCAGTGGTTAAGCACTTCTGGATTTGATCCCCTGGTATACCCTTCCACGGGGGGGGGGGGGGGGAAATAGTGTGCATCAGATCCTATTTAAACATACTAGGGCTGGGGATGTAGCTCGGTGAGAGCACTTGTCTAGCATGCTCAAAGCCCAGGGCTCACGCCGCAGTACTGAAAAACAAAAAACAGATCTTCCTAGATTGGATCTTCTAAGGGAGGGCAGGATCAAGGCCATGGCAATGCACTGCTGGTGTTCCACAAATGCCACCCATTGGTTGCTGGTGATGGCAAAGCACTGTCCTCCGTGCCACAGGTACAGGGTGATAACACTCTGATCACTGACCAAGGAAGGTAACTGGAGGTAAAGCAGCACAGCAGCCCTATCTGGGCAGTGTCTGCATTCATTTGGCCATTTGTGCCCACCCCAGCAAAGGGTCCCAAGAAACCTGGTTTATATGTCTTCCAACTGCCCCTCTCCCCAACTAGTCCCCAAAGCTCTGCTGCACACCGTGACTCCAGAGAAAGCCCTGGCAGGGCTCATACCTGCAAAGGCCATGCAGACATTGTCGTCCAAAGCACAGATCTTGCGCACTGTTCTTTCATCTTGTAGTTTGGCCACTGATTTCTTTTCCACACCAAGAACAACAATGTCCCTTCCTCGAACACCAACCTGTAATAAAAATCCATAAGCCACATGAGAATCCTACTGGGCACAGAACATGAGAGCTCATATTAATGTGGGCCCTGGAAAGACTGGGGGCAACAGCCCCACAGGAAGGTGTGTGTCCACACCTCTTTCTTTCTTTGTCTGTCACAGGGCACCTGGCCCTGCAAACTAGGGGTTAATGACCCACTCCTGGTGGAGCTAGTGCAGGTTCCAGGATCCAGGTGTGCAACCTGGGCCTTTTAGATACTGATGTGGTGTTCTAGGCATAGTGTAGCTAGCCAGTAATATGTGAATACTTCATTTCAGTCCAAGGATTAGTCCTTCCAAACCTCAAAGCCAGGGACTGACTTTTACTTAAGCCAGGGGCAAACTCCTGGTTTGCAACAACTACCCACTGAAAAATCAACATCACCCTGTTTTTGGCAGGCACAGCAGAGAGGAGGATGTGGATTACAAAGGGGAAATCACCTGAAGTTGACCCTTGAATCTAGACAAGTGTAGGAACATTGGGACCAACAAAGCCTGCCTGCTATAGAGGGCCCTGCAGCAGGTGGGATTGTACAGTGCTGTGGCCAGTGGAGTAGCATCCGTGACCTMGGCTTCCAGATGCTAGGGGCACCTCAGCAAGGTCTTGGCCAGTCCATCTGGCCCCCAGCCTGGAGTGTGTTTCAGTTTGCCCTGTGATTCCTCAAATGTCCTTTAGCGTCAAGCAGCGAACAAGAGAAGCTTGCAAGCTGCAGCTGGCCACGCAGAGCAGGCACTGGGAGTCCCTGGTGGGCATTAGCCTGTTCCTCTGCCACAGCCCTTTGGACTGTTAGGTCACCAGACATACCTGAAGCTTTAATTTCAAAATGGTTAAAGACTGGGGAGATGGAAACACTTAAAATTCAGAACCGTGTGTCCACTCAACCTCTGAAAGACCAGGTAACACAAGAAAAATCGTCCTACGGTTTGCCAGTAACATTGGCAGGTGTCCCAAAGAGTCACGATTTGACGTTTCCTGTAGTGACGAACAGTTGAGTCCCTGAACAAGAACACTGGCGAGGCGAGAGCGCCACGCTGGGACCAGAACTCGGCGTGACAGAGTGCGCCTTCCGAGGCGCAGCTGGACCCGGAAGCGGCCTGGTACCAGCGCAGGCCGCCGAGCCTCCTTTTGTTCTGGACACCCACCTGGGTCTCCCCGGGGCGG